CATAACGATTATTTCGCATAACAATTACCCCTCTTGCATGGATTAAAATCGTTAACCGGGGGTCCACTGTATATATATATATATATATATATATATATATATATATATATATATATATATATATAATGTATGTATATGTATATATATGTCGTGCCGAATATGTAAAACTGGTCAATTAGCAAGAACTCATTTAAAATTAAGTCCTTTTTGAAATTTTCTCTTATACGTTCACAATTTACATAAACGACATAGATGAGGGAATAAATAGGGACATAAGCAAATTTGCTGATGACACCAAAATAGGCCGTCCAATTCATTCTAATGAAGACATTAGAGCACTCCAGGATGATTTGAATAGACTGACGCAATGGTCGGAGAAATGGCAAATGCAGTTTAATATTGACAAATGCAAAGTTCTAAATGTTGGACAGTTAAATAACCATGCCACATATAAAGTAAATAATGTAGATCTTGATACTACTGATTTCGAAAAATATTTAGGAGTTCTGGTTAGCAGTAATCAAAAACCAAGACAACAGTGCATTAGTGTTTACCTGGAGTTTACCTGGAGAGAGTTCCGGGGGTCAACGCCCCCGCGGCTCGGTCTGAGACCAGGCTTCTGAGACTTGGCTTCATGTCTAGAAGTATAAATAATAGAAGTCCTCAGGTTGTTCTTCAACTCTATACATGTATATCCTTGGTTAGGCCTCATTTAGACTATGCTGCTCAGTTCTGGTCACCGTATTACAGAATGGATATAAATGCTCTGGAAAACGTTCAAAGGAGGATGACAAAGATGATCCCATGTATCAGAAATCTTCCCTATTACCTGGAGTTTACCTGGAGAGAGTTTCGGGGGTCAACGCCCCCGCAGCCCGGTCTGTGACCAGGCCTCCTGGTGGATCAGCCCCTGATCAACCAGGCTAGAGGATAGACTGAGGGCCCTGAATCTGCACTCTCTCGAAAGGCGTAGAATTAGGGGGGATATGATCGAGGTGTATAAATGGAAAGCAGGAATAAATAAAGGGGATGTAAATAGCGTGCTGAAAATTTCCAGCCAAGACAGGACTCGCAGCAATGGTTTCAAGTTGGAAAAATTCAGATTCAGGAAGGATATAGGAAAGCACTGGTTTGGTAAAAGAGTTGTAGATGAGTGGAACAAACTCCCGAGTACAGTTATTGAGGCTAAAACGTTGTGTAGTTTTAAAAATAGGTTAGATAAATACATGAGTGGGTGTGGGTGGGTGTGAGTTGGACCTGACTAGCTTGTGCTGCTGGGTCTGGTGCAGTGCTCCATCCTTGAGTGGAGGTGACCAGACTGGGTGGGTCATTGGGATAATCCGGGGAGGGGGGGGGGGACATGGACCTGCTCCACATGGGTCAGTAGGCCTGTTGCAGTGTTCCTTCTTTCTTATGTTCTTAATGAAGATCTGGTGGTGATTGATGGAATGGGAGGAGGGGAGTGTGGATGGTGTTAGTGTTTAGAAGGGGAATCCCCTTCCATTAGGACTTGAGGTAGCAAGTCCTTTTCCGGGGTTACTTCCCTTCTTTTAACCCTTAAACGGTCCAAATAGATCGACGTTCAAATCCGTAGTGCTCCAAACGTAGATCTCCGTTTTTTTTTTACATATTTTCGAACATAACAAAAAAACAAATGTAGATAAGTTTTTTACACATTTTCAAATGAAAAAAAAAAAGATCTACATTTTTTTACATACTTTCAAATGTTGAAAAAATGTATATATACGTTTGGACCATTTAAGGGTTAATGCCACTAGGACCAGCTTGAGAGTCACTGGACTTCTGTCGCACAACATAACTGTCCATAGAGGCCTGTACCTCCCATTCCTTTATGACATTCCTGAAGTGTTTCACAACATTGTCAGTGTAATAGTCACCAGCACGGCTTGCAATAGCTGTGTTAGGGTGATTGTCATCAAAAAAGGTTTGCACTTTAAGCCACATTGCACACATTTCCTTAATCTTTGAAGTAGGCAACTTCTTCAATTTCTCTCTCCCCTCCTCCGAAGCAGTTTCCTCAGATCTGGCCTCTTGCTGTTGAAGATGATCTAGCAGCTCATCAGTGGTTAGTTCTTCATTGTCCTCCTCCACCAACTCTTCCACATCCTCCCCACTAACCTCCAACCCCAAGGACTTCCCCAATGCCACAATGGATTCCTCAACTGGCATAGGCTTCTCACGGTTAGCCTCAAATCCTTCAAAATCCCTTTTGTCTGCACATTCTGGCCACAGTTTTTTCCAAGCAGAGTTCAAGGTCCTCTTAGTCACTCCCTCCCAAGCCTTACCTATAAGGTTTATACAATTGAGGATATTAAAGTGATCCTTCCAAAACTCTTTTAGAGTCAGTCGAGTGTCTGTGGTCACTACAAAGCACTTTTGAAACATAGCTTTTGTGTACAGTTTCTTGAAGTTGGAAATGACCTGCTGGTCCATGGGCTGCAGGAGAGGAGTGGTATTAGAAGGCAAAAAACTTGACCTTAATGAAGCTAATGTCCCCAGAAAGTTGCTCTGCCAAGTCTGTAGGATGACCAGGGGCATTGTCTAATACCAGGAGGCACTTAAGGTCTAATTTCTTTTCAGTTAGGTAATTTTTCACAGTGAGGGCAAATGCATGGTGTAACCAGTCATAGAAAAAGTCCCTAGTGATCCATGCCTTACTGTTTGCCCTCCACAGCACACAAATTAGCCTTGAGGACATTGTTTTTCCTGAACACTGGGAGTTTCAGAGTGATACACCAATAAAGGCTTCACTTTGCAATCACCACTAGCATTGGCACACATCAACAGAGTAAGCCTGTCTTTCATAGGCTTATGTCCTGGGAGTGCCTTTTCCTCCTGAGTAATGTAGGTCCTGCTTGGCATTTTCTTCCAAAAAAGGCCTGTTTCGTTGCAATTAAACACTTGTTCAGGTTTAAATTCTTCACTGTCTATGTAATCCTTGAATTCCTTCACATATTTTTCAGCCGCTTTTTGGTCCGAACTGGCAGCCTCACCATGCCTAATCACACTATGTATGCCACTACGATTCTTAAATCTTTCAAACCAACCTTTGCTGGCCCTAAATTCACTCACATCAGCACTAGTTGCAGGCAATTTCTTTACCAACTTGTCATGCAACTGCCTAGCCTTTTCACAAATGATCGCTTGAGAGATGCTATCTCCTGCTATCTGTTTTTCATTTATCCACATCAATAATAGTCTCTCAACATTTTCTAACATTTGCGGTCACTGTTTCGTAATCACAGTTGCACCTTTTGCAAGAACAGCTTCCTTGATTGCCGTTTTCCTGGTCACTATAGTAGAGATGGTTGATTGTGGTTTACTATACAACCTGACCAGCTCCGTCACACGCACTCCACTTTCGTACTTTGCAATTATCTCTTTCTTCATTTCAATAGTCATTAGCATCTTTTTTCTCGAAGGGTTGGCACTAGAAGCTTTCTTGGGGTCCATGGTGACTTATTTTGCAGAAACAAGCACCAAAAACAGTGATAATATGGAATGTACCGAATGTATCCTTAGATGCATGTACACTGGCTGGCTTATAAACACTAGCATACACGGGGCAGTTCAGGCCACACGTGGACACGTCTCGTACGAATCGCATCAAATACCGGGTTTTCGATCGGATACCAAGAAGAAATTTTTGCAATAAAATGCATCGAATACCGGATTTATCGAATACTGATGCCATCGAATACCAGGGGTCCACTGTACTCTGTGTGTATCTTACCTTTTCTTGTGTTTTTAATGCCTATTTATATTGCTAACTTAATATAAGTTAGTGTAAACTTGTTGTCTGGCATTTATTGCATATTTTATGTGTGCTCTGATAATAATACTTGTGGACCTGTGTGGTAGCCGGGTGGAGGGACAACATTACGTTTTCTCTGCTCAGCCATCAGAGAAAACGTGTATGAATCTGCGTTTGGCCCAGCCACTCCCTCACTCCGCTATTGTTTACAATTTTCGGCATGAATTATTCATTACTTCTACCTTCGTTTATGATGGCATCTAAAGGTAGTCGTTAGAAATGATTAAATTCAGTGAACAAGGCATGTTGATATTAATAATATGGCTCTGGGCCACAGTGTAGGTAGCCGGTAGGTGTAGCCCAGGCGGGCTACACCTACCGGCTACTTACACTGACTTCCTACAAATAAATACTACTCACCTCTCTTCCTATATTAAGACTACACATATTTTAAGGTAAATAATGAGTGTACTGTATGTGTATTTTACCCCTCTGGGATGTTTTAAATATCGTATATTAAGTATGAGATGGGGAGCCAGGGCTACCTACACCTGGGCTACCTGCACCTGACTTCCTACAAATAAGTACTACTCACCTCTCTCCCTACATTAAGATTACAAATACTTTAAGATAAGTAATGAATTTACTGTGAATGTATTTTACTTTGTGTGTTTTTAATGCCTGGTTCTATTAGTAACTTAATATAATTTAGTGTAAACTTGTTGTCTGGCATTTATTTGCATTTATAAATGGAAAAAAATGGCGTTCTGCCTTCCGGCGATGTCTGCTTTCCGGCGACAGCCTGGAACCTACCCCGCCGTATAAGTGGGGCCCTACTGTATTATGAAATACTACTTTGTATGAACAAGTGAGGGGACCGTCGCTCACTGGTAAACAATGGCACACTGGCTGGGAACAGCTCAGAGCCGTGAGTACACGTCCCAGACAAACGACTATTCGCAAGTCAAACTACGATTAGCGAGGCAATGTTTTGACAAAAATAACATTACGATTTTCGAAAATTACGACTATCGAGCCTTACGATTATCGAGGGACCACTGTACATCCACTTATTGCTATCGTTGTAGTTCTCAAAGTGTATTGAAAATTCTTATAGTGTGGAATTAGAGCTTATGACTTGCTTGTTTGAATTTCTGGGCATAATTGAGGTTGCTATGGAAGAAAAATCCCAATGACTTATACTGTAGTATTTTTCTGTTTTCAGGGCTTGCACATGTTTGGGCTAAACTTTGCCAATATTGCCCACTTTATGCCAGGTCGCTCAGTTATTCAAGTGAGGGACAGGTTCAAGCGGACCATCTTACTGGGGATAACCTCTAAGCCATGGACAAGGTGAGGACATTTAGTGTTATGATCTTTTCTTTTATTGGCGGTCTCCCACCATTGTAGGATAACCCAAAAATGGAAAATGCACCATCTTTCATTCATTAGCTGTCTTGCCACATCATTCAGTGTGATGTTTGTGTATTGATTTTAATGTTCTCTTGGCCATTATCAAATTATCTTGTGGAATATCAGTATATGATCATTTCTGTTCATATACAGTGGAACCTCGGTTTTCGTCATTAATTTGTACCAGAAAGTCTGACGAAAACCGAATTGTATGAAAACTGAAGCAATATTTCCGATAAAAAATAATGTAAATCCAATTAATCCGTTCCAGATGCCCAAAAATATTAACAAAAAATACATTTTATAGAGAATAGCTAGTATAGTTTTACATACAGAAAACAAAGAGAAATGAATATAAATGACTAATGAAATGGATAAATGAACATTTAACATAACTTACTTTTATTGAAGACTCTTGTTGGCGTATGGAAGATGGTGAGGAGGGGAGAGGGAGGAGGAGAGGTTATTGTTAGGAGGGGGGAGCCCCCTCCATAAGGACTTCAGGTATCAAGGCCCTATCCGGGATTACTTCCCTTTTTTGTCTTTTACTGGCACTAGGATCAACTTGAGTCTCTACCCCTGTCGCACAAAACATCTGTCCAGAGAGGTTTGTTTCTGGCGTCTCTCTAACTCTTAAACGTGCAAATGTAGATATACGTTTGCTCATGTAGCGCTTTGAACGTAGCTCTACGTTTTATTTTTCATTCCTTAAAATTTGGCGCGATAAGCCTGAGTCACCTAGACATGAGAGAATGGGTCTGCACCCTCAGTGTGCACAGCATGAAAAAAATCATTGACGCCGGGGTACTGCGTAATAGCACCAGTTATTTTCAGCTCCATCTTGGGTCAACATCATGGCAAACCCCAGTGATTCACTCATGCCTCGTCGTATTAACACTACTGTTCTTGGACAGTGAAACAGAATGTAAGTTTAGTGGATTTGGCACTGATATGGCCATAATGATGAAGGAATTAGTGAAACTATTAACCCTTTGACTGTTTTGGTCGTATATATACTACGTCTTACGAGCCACTGTTTTTGACGTATATATACTCATAAATTCTAGCGGCACTGACATGGCATGACAAACAGGACATGACATTGCTGCACTACCACCTTCTACCACTATTACAACTGCTACCACCTTCTACCACTATTACAATGAACCCCTTTACCACTATTACAAAAAGTCCCCATACTACCCTTCCCACTATTACAATGCTACCACCCTTTCCCCCTATTACAATGTACCCCATTCCCACTATTACAATGTACCCCCAAACACTACCCCCTTTTCCACTTACTTTCACCCCTTCTCCACATTACAACTGTCCACCTTTCCACTTTTAAAAAGTACCCCCTTCTACCGTATTCAACTGCTACCCCCATCCTACCACCTTCTACCCCTATTCAATGCTACCCTATTTCAACTGCTACCCATCACTACACCCTTTCCCCAAATTTAAAAGCTACCCCCTTCTACACTATTTAAAATGCTACCACCTTTACCCTTTCAATCTAACCTTCTCCCCTATTCAACTGTACCACCCTCACTACCACCTTCTTTTTTTTTACTATTACAACCTACCCTTTTACCCCTATTACAAAATGCTACCCCCTCACACCACCTTTTCCAAATTTCAAAGCTCCACCTTTAACCCCTATTTTAACGCTCCCCCATATACCCCCTTTACCACTTTTTACAACTGCTACCACTATCACTACCCCTTCTACCCCTATTCAATGCTACACCTTCTACCCCTATTACATGCTACCCTTCTACCCCTATTACAACTGTCCACCTTTACCACATTACATGTACCACCTTCTACCCCTTTTTCAATGTACCACCCTCACTACCACCTTTTACCACTATTACAATATACCCTTGTACCACTATTACAACTGCTACCCCATCACTACCCCCTTTCCCCCCCATTACAATGTACCCCCTTCTACCACTATTACAATTACCCCCATCCTACCACCTTTTACCAATATTTCAAAGTACCCATACTACCACCTTTACACTATTCAACTGCTACCCCTTTACCACTATTACAAAGCTACCCCCTTCTACCCTATTACACTGCTACAAATTTACCCTATTACAAGCTACACCTTTAACTTTTTCAAAAACACCCCCATCACTACCACCTTCTACCATTTACAATGCACCACCTTTTTACACTTTAAAAAATGCTACCACCCTCATACCAACCCTTTTACCCTTTTACAACGTACCACCTTCTACCCCTATTTAAAAAGCTACCCCCATCACTACCACCCTTTCCACTATTACAATGCTACCCCTTTTACCACTATTACAATCTACCCCATCCAAACCTTTACCCCCATTTACAACTGACCACCATCATACCCTTCTACCAAAATTACAACTGCACCACCATCACTACCCCTTCTTCACTATTACAACTGTACCCCATCAACCACCCTTTCCACTATTAAACTGCTACCACTTTCTACCCTTTACAACTGCTACCACCATCACTCCACCCCTTTTACACTTTTACAATGCTACCACCCTTCTACCACATTTTAAATGCTACCACCTTTACCACTAAAAATGTACCCCCATCATACCACCTTTTACCACTATTTCAATGCTCCACTTTACCCCTATTACAAAGCTCCACCTTTTTCCATTTTAAACTGCTACCAACTTTACCCCAAAATTACAAATGCTAAACCCCCTCACTACCCCCTTTACCCCTATTACAATGCTACCACCCTTTTACCCTATTACAACTCTACCACCTTCAACCGTATTACAATGCTACCCCCTTCTACCACATTAAACCCTTTACACTATTACAACTGTCCCCATCATCCACCTTTAAATATTCAAAGCACCCTTTACCACTTTTTAAATGCTCCACCTTTTTCCCCTATTACAAAGTACCCCCTTCACCCCTATTTCATCTCCCCCTTTACCCCTATTAAATGCTACCACCTTCACCACTATTAAACTGCTACCCATCACTACCCCCTTTACCCTATTCAAAGTACCACCTTGTACCACTATTACAACGCTACCCCCATCATACCACCTTCCCACTTTTTTTAAAAAAATGTACCACCCTTTTACCATATTACAACTGCTACCACCATCGTACCACCTTTCCACTATTACAATGCTACCCCCCTCACTACCACCCCTTTACCCCTATTACAAAATGCTACCCCCTTCTACCACTATTACAATTACCACCCTTTTACCACTTTACAAAGCTCCACAAACACTACCACTTTACCACATTCAATGACCCCTTCTACCACTATTACAACCCACCACCCTCATACCACCTTCTACCACTTTACAATGCTAAATCTTTTACCCCTATTAAAGCTACCCCCTCACTCCCACCTTTACCCATTAAATTTACCACCACACTCCCCTTTTACCCCTATACAACTGCTCCCCATCACTAACCCCCTTTTACCACTATTACAAAAGCTACCCCCATCACTCCACCTTTAACCCCTATTTTCAATGTACCCCCTTTACCACTATTACAAAGCTACCCCCTCATAACCCTTTACCACTATTACAAACTCCACCTTTTTTCCCCTATGCAAATGCTACCCCCACATCCCCCTTTACCCCTATTACAATGCTACCCCCATCACTCCACCCTTTTACCACATTACAACTGCACCCCCATCACTACACCCTTCCCCCATTTCAAAGTACCACCTTCTCCCCTTTACAATGCTACCACCTTCTACCACTATACAAAGCTACCCACTTCTCCACATTACAACTGCTCCATTCACATATTAAAAAAGCTACCCCATCATACCCCCCTTTACCCCTATTCAATGCCCCACCTTTTACCACTATTTTCAACTGCTACCCCCCTTTTTTATTACAATGCTACCCCCTTTCTAAAAACCCTTTACAACCACCTTCTACCACTATTACAAAAGCTACACCATCACTACCCCCTTCTACCACTATTTTCAATGTACCACCCTTTTACCACTATTAAAACTGCTACCACCCTTTTACCACTATTACAATCTACACCCTTTACCCTATTCAACGCTACCCCTTCTACCCCTATTACAATGCACCACCTCATACCACCTTTTACACTTTACAACTGCTACCCCCTTGTACCACATTTCAATGTACCCCCATCACTACCACTTCTCCACTATTTTTCAATGTACCCCTTTCTACCCCTATTACAAAATGCTACCCCCATCATCCACCTTCTACACTATTTTCAATGCTACCACCCTTTACCACTATTTCAACTGCTACCCTTCTACCCCTATTACAAGCACCACCTTTACCATATTACAACTGCTACCACCTTCTACCCCTATTACAATGCACCCCCTTTACGCTTTGCAACTGCTACCACCATCATACCCCCTTTACCCCTTTCAAAGCTAACCCTTTACCCATTTTTCAACTAACCACCTTTACTACCCCCTTTGCCACTTTATAATGCTACCCCCTTTACCATATTACAATCTACCACCTTTCCCCTATTACAAAGTCCACCTTTACCACTATTCAATGCTCCCCCTCCTCCATTTACCACATTACAACGCTACCATTGTACCATATTACAACTGCTACACCATCACTACACCTTCACCCTATTACAATGCTACCACCCCTTTTCCCTATTACAATGCTCCACCATCGCTACCGCTTTCTACACAATTAAACTGTACCCCATCACTACCCCTTCTACCACTTTTTCAACTGCTACCACCATCACTACCCCCCTTCTACCATATTACAATGACCACCTTTTACCACTATTAAAACGCACCCCATCATACCCCCTTCTTCCCCTATTCAAAGCACCCCCTTTTAACCCCCTTTAAAACTGCTACCCCCTTATACCCCCTTTACCATATAACAATTGAAAAATATAAAAATTTTAAAATATTAAAA